ACAAAGTTTCAACAAAGTTAGTAACCCTATCACAACTGAAGCATAACAGCCTTAGTCATCTCAAAAGTCACTCCAAGATTGGCCAATGGGATGATCTTCTTCAAATGTATCTAGAAATGCTGCTTTCAATTTCTTTTTGACATAATTCTTCCTTTTATTTACCAGTGAATCTTGTTTTCAGTTTTTTAAAGGGCACAAGCATCTCCCTGTCTGCTTCATTAAACTTTTTCCTTAAAAGAAAAAAATAATGCTTTTAGCCTGTTTTGAGCTATTTCCTCATGAAATGAATTTGCAGCAAAATGCACAGTGCACAAACGTGTCCTGACTGATTGGTCTTTGGAATGGGTTCCCAGGGCAAAAGACTTTCTCTGTGGAATATTTAAAGTTAAGAATTCTGAGTCTGGGACGTAGCTCACTGGTGGAGCACTTGCTATGGACCAGCTGCAAATGTTAAACTTGTAGAGACATTTTTATATATATCTCAGCAAACAGAATCTATGAAGAAATGATTGCATGCAAACAAACTGTCCCATCATCAATGTGGCAAAAATTAGTTACACAAACACAATGAAAATTTGAGCCAGGCATAGTGACACAGCTCTGTAATCCCAGCACTAAGGAGGCTGAGGCAAGAGGATCATGAGTTCCAGGTCAGCTCAGGCTACATAGCAAGATCCAGTCTCAAAAAGGAAATTTTGAACTCAAAGCCAAAAGCCAGTTGTTAGTTTTCATTAGGTAAATCTCACAACTGTTTAAAAAAAAGAAAGAACAAAGCTTTCCTAATGAAAACTGTGTTTTAAAATGACAATTTCGTGATATTAGCTAGCCCATATTCCTCTGGAATGACCGACCCAGGCATCTTGAAGTGGCACCTGAAATAATAGCAATCTATCTCCCTATTCGTGAAAACCCAGCATCAAGATTGCATTGCCCACAAGAAAGCAACATCACGTGCAGCTGTGAACTCTTCCCAAGCAGTGAAATGGAAAGGGGGCTGTGTCTTACTCATCTTGGTTACTCCAGCACCTGATGAGGATGATGACAACAAGCATGGTGAGGTGACATGCAGTGTGTGCTCACTGTGTGCTAGGCACTGCATCAGTAGCTTTACAGAGATGGTAAGGCAAGTACTACTGTCAGCCCATTTTACAGATGAGGAAACCCAAGCACAGAGAAACTGAATAACTTCGCAAGTTCTGCTTGAGCAGCAGAGAATTCAAACCAGTCAATCTTTTTGGTTTTTTTTTTTTTTTGGTGGGGGGGATAACAGGGCCTCATGCCTGCTAGGCTTACTAAGCAAATGCTCTACCACTTGAGCCACTCCACCAGCCCTGTTTTGTATGGGCTTTAAGATGATAGGGTCTATTTGCCTCAGGCTGGCTTCAAACCACAATCCTCCTGATCGCTGCCTCTTGAGTAGCTAGGATTATAGACATGAGCCAACTGACACCTGGTGAAACCGGTCAGTCCTATCCAAAGCTGAAGCTCTTACCACAAACCAGTAAGAAGCAAGTGAAAAATATTTGTTGGAATAACAGTTAAAAAAATATTTGGCCAAAGGCTTCTATAGTCACATATTCTTTTTTAAATGCACACAAAATATATCTTCTCTTTGTTACCATTTGTCCAACTAGTTGAAGGTATAATTAGGCACAGCAAACAGACGTAAATCATCTGAGAGCAGAAAACCTTTTTTTTTAAATCTCTTTAATACTTTACAGTGTCCTGCCAAAAGAACAGAGAATCTTAGGCTAGGCTCCTCCAATAACAAAAAAAAAAAAAGGAAATCAAAGCAGGTAGGACAAAGACGGGTGAGCTGCTGACCAGAGCATGTCACAGATGAGCGGTGGCTCCTGTGAACTGTGAACTGTTCCGCAGAGAGGCGCTGGAAGCACTGCAGTGTTGCCGACGTGAAGTCTGAGCTCGTGGACGTCATGCTGCAAAGGGGGCCAAACTGAATAGGAAGCTGCTTCCTTTCCTCTACTGACTTTATTCACCCCAGGGCCGACACTAGGAGGTTTGAGAGTTAACTGAATTTGGGAAAGGGCCAGCTTATTGTTGGATGGAGTGTAATAGCTTCGTCAATAAATGAAGTTTACTTTAGACTCTTAGTCCTTGGGATGGGTCATGGAAGGAAGATCACAAGCATTTCTCCAGTGGTCAGAAAACACCTATTCCCTAGCCTCCCTCAGCCAACAGGAGCACCACGTGAATTATCTGAGTCTGATTTTAATACAGTTGTAAGAAAAACCCAGGCCATTCAACAACCTAAAGGGAGAAAGGGGGGGGAAATCACGTATTTGTAAAAGAGAAAAATGAAAAATAACACATTGTAGAAAAAGATGGGGAAAAAAAAAACTCTGCTACCATTTGACTTAACTGCAGAAGTAAGATAAACGCTGCAGCAAATGGGGAGAAAAATCCACCTGCCTGAGGAACAGAACAGCCCCTGTAACCTCAGTACCTGTGCACCGTCCTTGCCATTACATAACCCAGCCATGGCCCTCCTAGGCCATCAGGCTGTGTGTCCACAGCTGCTGGATACATCTGAGCTGTCAGCAACTGAGAACCCCTTCCAAAGTGGATTCAGATAAGAAAGGGGCAGGCCAAAATACGCTCCTGGTTCACCCAGAGCACATGACGGCTCCTTGTGAATTAAGCTTCACTCCTGTTGGCAGAGTAATTTGAGCAGCAAAAGGAGGGCACTTGTAACTGTAAGTAGGAAATTGCCCACTGCTACAGAAACACAAATGAACGCTGGTGTGGTCTCTTCACACATGCAATTCATTGTCCAAACCATTTCAGGCTCATTCAAGACTCTTGAATATTTCCATACATAGGAATTGCATAACTGCACACCACAAATGATCAAAGATAAAAACCAACATAAACAGTGACACCCGTTTATAAACAAGCTGATGTTTTAAATGCTACGCCTCTAAAGGTCTCAAAGAAAAACTATGAAACACACATACATACACACACACACAAGAAAATTAGAAAGCGGGCAGACCAGCCATAATTAGGCACTGGCTTTGCTGACTACTGAAGATAGAAATGTCTCCTTTATATATAAAGCCAAGAACCAACTGTGTGCAATTACATTTACAAAAACACTCAACCCAGCCTGTCATAGATTTTTTTTAATCAATATTTTGGTATATCCAAGGACTGGAAGAGTCAAAATTCTTTCTATCCTAGAGACCATAAACCAGGCAATCAATTAAGTTCATGCAGTCCTTTCCCCAGAGGCCAGAGCAAAATAATCACAGAAGCACAATGTGATTACTTAGAAGAGAGGGAAGGGGGGAAAAAAATGAAATACCAAAACAAGGAACAAGACACACTGTAAATATAAGTTTGGTCTGGCTAACAGTAAACAGGACTGGAAACACTGGGGGGAAGGGAGCTAGAAGATTCACCAGGGTCTAGGCTCAGACTCCCCTCCTAAAGGTCTGAGAGTGACAGGACTTGTTTATCTCATTCACCTCTGATCTGAAGACTTGAGCCCTCAGATAAAAACTGACAAAAAGACTGAAGGGGACCCTGGGGAGGAAGTGAAACTGACCAGCCAATTCACACAGCCACCTACCCAGGGGCTGGTAAGAAGGGCCCCTTGTAGTGTCTGACACAAGAGAGGGGCAGGGAAGGAACTTCAGGTTTCAAGTAAGCAGGAGAGGAGGACTAGATAGTCACTGGCTTCTGAAATGAGTGATTGCCTTTAAAAGCCAAAAGAAGGTAGGCGATGGTAACAGAGGCTGGGTTGAGGAGGTGAGGGGAACTGGTGTGGCTTTGAAGCAACAGCAGCTGTAGTCTTCATTCTCAGGCTAAGGGAAAGCATGAACTGCAGTTTTAAATATAACGAATGACTACATTAAAAGTATTCATTCAAGTGAGAGACTGAGCACAGAAAAACGGAGTTGAAGAGGGCTTTGTGGGTTCCATCAAAACTAAAGGATTCTTCCTGATGTCTTGTACTCGAAAATACTCCCAAATGAAGAAGGACATATAAAAGTGCAAAATAATAATAATAATAATAATTTTCTACTCATACACATATGGCTTCTAATTGACCTTGACCAATTTCACTGCTACAGCTCCTCAAATCCCTTGGGAACCAAAGGGCCCAATGGGTGTAATCCTCTGATGTCTGGGGCTCCTCCATCCCAAGATTTCCCCCCACCTCTGAAAACCCACCTTGGGGTTCTCCAAAACCCACAATTCCAGACCCTCCAGAACTAAAAATAACCAGCAACCCAGATCTCCCAAATTATTAACCCTTGATTAGCCAGTGCCACCACGAACCTGGGTCCCCCAGGACCTCTGCTCCCTGGGCCCCCTTCCTACAAGCACACAAAACAATTTGTCCCCTTCTTTCCCCCATTTTATTCACTGCCTCCGCCACTAACCAGGGTTCCCCCTCGGGCTTCCATTCGCACCTTCTATCAGTCTTAGATGATCAAACGCGGATTCCTATCTCGGTCGTAAGGTGCCAGGTTCCTCATACCTCCCAGTGCCCTGCACCCACCCCACACCTCCGTCCCTGCCCCAAGCCCCAAGCCGTCCCGGGGCCCCTCAGAAGCTTGTCTTTCCCCATCCTCCCGGTCCACAGTTCCTATGCCTCTACCCTCGTCCCCTCAGTATCCCCTAATTGCGGGTTCCGGGGTCCTCTTGGCGCAGACTGCTGGCCCCCTGGGAGTTCCAGCGCCTTCTTTCCAGTCACCCTCAACAGCCCCGGGGACCCCCTTCCCATGCCCAGTTGCTCAATTCCCCGGTTCCCCCTTGACCCCTGTGCGGTGGAGTTTCCCTCTCGCGGGGTCCTCACCCCGGACAGCCCCCTTTGCCGGTCTCCCCGGTCCCCAACGCTGTCCCTTTACACCGACCCACTGGCTGCCCCGACGCCGCAGCCCCGGGGGTCGCCGACCTCCCCCGGCCCCGCGGCTCTCGGACGCTGGCCGGCCGCGCACCCTCGTTGGCCGCCGGGTCCCGGGGCGCCCTACCTTGGCCTTGGTGACGAGGTGCGTGGCCCTCTTGACCACGGCGAAGTTGCCCTTGCCGATGGTGCGGTCGATCTCGTAGTAGCCGATGCGAGCGGGCATCGGCCCACGGGAGGCCGGGGCTGCGGGACGCGGCGGGCCGGCCGCGGGGGACACAGCCGCGGGGGTGGCCGGGGGCCCCGGAGCGGGCGGAGGCAGCAAGCGGCCGGCCGGCCCGGCACCCCCAGCTCCGGCCACGGCAGCCCCGCCAGCTCCGCTCGCCGCCGCCGCCGCCATCTTGTTGTGCAGTGAAACCTCCGGGGCCGCGGGGAGCCGGCTGGGGGGGAGGGAGGGGGCAGGGGGGGCGGGAGGGGGGGAATGGACGTCACTCCGGGAGGCGGAGCTCCCGTGCCGCCGGGCGCCCGGCGCCATGGCAACCGCGGGTCACGTGCCGACGCGCGTCACTGCCCGGAGCCATGGCAACCGTGACCTCACCAGAGAGCTCGACCTTCCCGCGTGGGTCCCGGATCCTTGGGCGCTGGCTCCCGGGTGCCCTCCTCTGGGGAGCAGAACCTCCACATCTCAAGTGTGCCAGCAACTTCGAAGCCTGAGAATTGAGGATGCCCCATGCAAAGGCGACCCTCCCCTCTCCCTCCCCGCTCCCTCCCCATTGCCCCTGGACTAAGGTGATCCCTACTGTGACCTCTGTCCCACTTCGGCAGCCACGCAACCTCCCTTAAAAAGTATTTCCTCATCACCAAAAATACCAGCCAGCCTTGTCCCACTTTAGCCACAAAGGCAGGAATAGCTACAGTATTTAAGCAACTGTAACCAAGTTGGTAGTAGCAAGGCAGGGGAATTGTTCAGTAAAATTCCTTCCTCTTACAAAATCCAGTTCACCCGATGCAGGCAGTCTAATTGTCACTAAACATAGGAGAATGGGGAAACTAGGGTTTGCGTGTTCAAGGGCGTTGGAACCAGCCCAAACACGCATTCCAGTCATTGGGTGGGTGAGGGCCAGAGAAAGAACGTCATTTTCCTTCCTACCACCCCCGGATCTGAACAGTTCTAAAGCTAGATGTCTGTCAGGGTGTCTCCAAATACTATTCTATTGCTTGTATAACCCTTCAGAAGCCGTGCTGCACATCGTCTGTGAGCCATGTCCGTTAGGCAAAATAAGCAAATAATAAAATAAAAATTCCATCCTTACTAATGGCTCTGCAAGGTCTTTAAAGGTGATGAAATTAATAACGCCATCAATCAACCTCATCTCCCTTTTTCTTTCCTCCTCTATTATCTGGCATTCCACACTCTCCACTAGCTTCCAGGCTCCCTCCCCTTCCCTAATCCACCCCCACCCCACACTTTCTTTATTAAGTAGATTGATTTAGAGACCTTTGGTGGGGAATGGGAGTAGAAAATTGGACTGTCTTTGACAGAGAGCTCTTGGCGGTAGGAAGGGAGGAAGACTGCAAACACTCCTGTGTTGAAAGGTATCCCTTCCATGTAGTCCTGACCCACCCACACCTATGTCTGTGTCTGTGGCAGGACTTTGTTGTCGGGTCCCTGCATGCACAATATTAAACACTGACCCCCAGGGCACTGTAAATATGTGAGAAGGGGAACCCAGGTTTACTCTCTGACCAAAGGACATTTCCTAGTGCTCTGATTCCCTGTCTGACCATGAGTCATCGCTGAGACTAGGATGGGATGTAGGACCCATCCCACAATTGTCTTTGATCAATTCCCTGGTGGCTGTTCCAAATTACCACCACAATTACCACTAATTGTCTCCTTCACAAGCAAGTAGGGATGAGGATGCATTGCTTCTTGCATTGGCTAAACCCTTTCATCAATTGAGCTCATTTAATCCCAGATAAATGATGGGGTGTGGCCTGCCTCTCTTACCATTTCATGACCCTCACCTGCCTCTAGCAGGGACCGTAACTGCATTGCTATGTCTCAGAACTCCAGTTTTAACATCTTATGATGGTGGGCTCAACAGAAACTTTAGCTGACTAATAAAGCCAAGAGGAAAAAAAAAATCTTGCCAGGTGCCTGTGGCTCATTCCTGTAATCCTAGCTACTCAGGAGGCAGAGATGTGGAGAATGGCAGTTCGAGAGACCCTGTCTTGAAAAAACCCAACACAAAAAAGGGCTGGCAGAATGGCTCAAGGTGTAGGCCCTGAGTTCAAGCCCCAGTATGGCAAAACAAAAAAAATAAAAGACTTCCTGGAAATCTCTCTGAAGAGTGTGCTCTTTGGTGAGAGCATAGAAAATTGGAGGAGGGGGGAATGGATTAATGAAAGATCATCAGCAGACAAGAAAAATAGTGTAGATGAATGTATTTAATAACAACAGAGTACCAAAGACTGAGTTAGATTTTGGGAGGATTTGGAGAATGGAGGGGTTCAATCCTTGGCATCACAAAATAATAATAAAATAGTAACCATTTGCCAGGCACTATGCTAAGTAGTTTATACATGGGAACTCATGCCTCAAAACAACCCTATGAAATGTATTATGTTATTATCCTCCTTTGCAAATGAGGAAAATGAAGTACAAAGGGATTGAGAGAATTGGCCAAGATCCTAGAGCTAGGAAGTAATGGAAATAGGATCCAAATTCAGACAGCCTACCTCTGAACCTGATATCTTAACCCAATGTATTATAATCCCCGACAAGGCAGGACCAGACAGAAAAGTGGTTGCTTCAAAAGTCAGGATGATTGAGCTCAGTTTAGACCCATAGTATAGTTTCTACTTTGAATGTTTCCCAAAGACCTGGTTCCCAGCTTGGCACTACTAGAGGTAGTAGAAACTTTAATAAAAGATGGGACCTAGGGAGAGGTCTTTAGGTGATTTTTGCTTGTGTTCGTTTGTTTCTTTTTGGTGGTACTGGGGTTTAAATTCAGGGCCTCATGCTTGCTAGGCAGGCGCTCTTCCACTTGTACTACTCCACCAGCCCTTTTTTGTGTTGGGTATTTTCAAGATAGGATCTTATGAACTATATGCCTGGGATTACATGTGTAAGCCACCAGCGCCCAGCTGGGGGAATGTTCTCAAAGAGAATTATGGGATCCAGGACTTCATTCTCTCTCTCTCTCTCTCTCTCTCTCTCTCTCTCTCTCTCTCGCTTCCCAACCATGAAGTAAGCAGTCTTGCTCCACCAGGTACTCCCACCATGATGTGCTGTCTCAGCACAGACCCAAAAGCAGTGGTGCTAAACAATCATGGACTGGAATCTTCAAACAATGGGTCTTTTTATAAATTGATTAACTCAAATATGCAGTATAGTGATGGAAAGCTGAGTAACACACCCAGGGAGTAAGAAGACTTTTAGAGTCCCTGAAAGCAGGGCTGAGCAGTCTGTGGAAACATATGAATAAAAACCACAGACTACACAGCTAAACAAAGGGCCCACAGTGCTGTGGATGGTTCACTTGTAAATGGCACCCCGAGGAGACTCACTGCTCCCCGTGTAGGAGCATGGCTGCCCTCACGAAACAGGCCACTTGGTGCCTTCCTGCCCTGCGGCAGACTCAGAGGAATGGTTTGGGGGCTGCATTTTCAGAGACCCTGCAGTCGGGGGATAGGCAGAGCGCTCACCACCACCCAGCCCAGAATTAACCACGATCACCAACTGTCAAAGATCTGAAAAAGCAAAAAACATGCAAAGATAAAAAGTGAGCTGGGAGAGTGGCTCAAGTGGTGGAATGCCTGCCCAGCAAACGTGAGGCCCTGAGTTCAAAGATAAAAATGAGACTTTTTCTTCCAGATGCCAGTGGCTTACATCTATAATCCTAGCTACTCAGGAGAGATCAGGAGAATGAGGTTCAAAGCCAGCCCAGGCAAATAGTTTGCAAGACCCTATCTCAAAAAAAACCCTATCACAAAAAATTGGGCTGGTGGCGTGGCTCAAGGTGAAGGCCCTGAGTTCAAGCCCCAGTACTGCAAAATAAATAAAATAATAATAATAACCAGAAAGAAAACTGCAACCGGATAATATTACTCCAGGGACTCTCAGAGACATGAGGACCTTAAAGTCCAACCTCTTACATGACAAGGCCCAATTCCTCACTGCTCTGAAAGTAGCTGACATTATACAAGCAGTCAGTAGATATAGAAACATTATTCAGAAGTTTTGTGTGCCAGCTGGGTGCTTGGTGACTAATGCCTATAATCCTAGCTACTCAGGAGGCAGAGATCAGGAGGATCACAGTTCGAAGACAGCCCAAGCAAATAGCTTGTGTGACTCTATCTCAAAAATAACCAGCAAAAAAAAAAAAGGGCTGGCAGAGTGGTTCAAGTGGTAGAACACCTCCCTAGCAAGCCTGAGGCACTGAGTTCAAACTCTACTGCCAAAAAAAGAAAAACTGTATGCCAAAAGACCCCATTATAGAAGCTTACATAGCACTGACTTCCCAAAGAAGGAAATTACCAGCCAATTGTAAATTCTGCCTTCACATCGGAATGAGGGCAGTGCCGGGCGCACGTTGTGAACACTCCGAATGCCCTGGTTCTCTGGGAGAGCTGAACGTGGGCCTTCTGTCTCTGTGAGCGCTGTGTTTTGCATCACCACCTCCGCTGTGTGGTTTTCGCCTCTTCCTCCTCCATCCCAGATCACTCTCATCACATTAAAATGTTTCCTCTGGGTATCCAGAAACAGGTCTGAGCAGCCAAAGATAACTACCAAGCCTCCTGCTGTAAAACATCATGGGAGGGTGCTGCAAAGAGACAAAGTCAGCCTCTGCTCAGGGAGTTTCTCTTCAGTGTACCCTCGGTTTTGTGTTTAATCTAACCATCCAAGGTGTAATGCAAAAACATTTAAAATTACCCTTACTTTTGCATATTTTCTAGGGTATGGTTTAAGCATTTTTTGATTATTATTAAATGTCCTTTAAATCATCCTAAACATCTTTAGGTATTTTTTTGGCGGGAGGAGGTACTGGGGCTTGAACTCAGGGTCTCATGCTTGTTAAGCAAGTGCTCTACCATTTCAGCCACTCCACCAGCCCCTTTTTATCTGGGTATTTTTCAAGATAGCATCTTGCAAACTATTTGCCCAGGCTGACTTCAAACCATGATCCTCCTGATCTCTGCCCTCTAGTAGCTAGGCTTAGAGGCATGAGCCACGGGAGCCCAGCTAGACATGATTTTTTTCAATCTCTCTCTCTTTCTCAATTTTTTTGGGGGGACAGGGTTTCACTGTGTTGCCCAGGTTGGCCCAGAACTGGCAAACTCAAGAGATCTTTCTACCTCAACCTTCAAAGTGAGATAACATACTCCTTCCTGCAGCCTACTGGTTTTCTGCATTCTTACAGATAGCT